TGGAAGTCAGTGAAAAAAAGGTACCCCTCCAATGAGATGGATTGGCACAGTGGCAGCAGCAATGGGCTCAAGTGCTACAATTATGAAGTTGGTACAGAACCGGGCAGTGTTTCATTCTGTTGTGCAGAGTCACTGTGAGTTGGTAGTGACTCAATGGCACCTAACAATAGCAAAAACAACATCAAGAAGGACCAATCCCTGGAGATGGATGTCATGCTTGGTGGAGGGTCATCGAAGAAGCGAAAGCCCCTTAACAAGGTGGACTGGCACAGTGGCAACAACAGGCTCAAACATAAAATTGTGAAGATGCCTGGACCACACTTAACAACCACCTAACAAAAAGACATAGTCACCGTAAGACACAGGAAAAATGCAGAAAAGTATAAAGAAAAACAAAATCCTATGTCGCATCATCCAAAGACGATTAATCAACATCAGTACATTTCTTTACTACTCCTTTAAACACATTTTTACTAAATGTCGGTGTCATTTTCCATCTCATTTTCACTATCATAACAGAAGCATTTCCACAGGTGATTAAAACCTTACAAATACTACCTTAAATGGATGCAACAATATTTCATTCTGAGGAGAAAAAATACTTAAGATTATTTCACATCTTTCTCTTCCATAAATTAGGTCGTTTCTACCTAAATAATTCTGTGCCTTATTTTTTTTTTTAAAGGTTTTTAATAACAGCTTTATTTCAATATAATCCACATTCCATAAAACTCACCCTTTTTAAGCGTACAATTCAATGGTTTTTAGTATATTCATGAATTTGGGTAACCATCACCACAACCGACTTGGGGGCACTTCCATCATACCAAATGAAGCCTCATGCCCATTAGAAGTTGCTCCCCACTTGTCCCCCCACCCCCTCAGCCCCTGGAAACCACTATCCTACTTTTGATTTCTATGGGTTTCCCTTTTCAGGACAGTGTATATAGATGGAATCAGTACAATACGTGTGGCCTTTTGAGTCCGTGTTGTTGCATGTATTAATACTTCATTTCTTTTAATGGCTGAATAATACTCCCTTTAAGGAACCCTGGAATCGTAGTGAATTATGAGCTAGGCTGCTAACCACAAGGTCAGCAGTTTATATCTACCAGTCGCTTTGCGGAAGATAAGACTTTCTGCTCCTGTAAAGATTTACTGCCTCAGAAACCCAATACAGGATCACTATGACTATGAGTTGGAATGGAACTCTGGTAGCGTGGTGGTTGTGAATTGGGCTGCTAACCTCAAGGTCAGCAGTTTGAAATTACCAGCTGTTCGCGGGAGAAAGATGAGGCTTTCTGCTCCCGTAAAGATTTACAGCCTCAGAAACCCTCTACAGGGTTGCTATGAGTCAGAACTGACTCTACAGAACACCACCACCACCACGAGTTGGAAACGACTTGACAGTGTGCCTTATTTTTTAATCTTTGGAGTCCTGGTGTGCTGTAGGATAAGGACTGAACTACTAACTGCACAATTGGCAGTTCACACCCACCAGCTGCTCCTTGGAAACCTTAAGTAGGGTAGCTGTGAGTCAGAACGAACTCAATAACACTAACAATAATCATCTTAGACTTTGCATCTCATTTCTTTTACTTTTAGTAAGATTCCAAACTTTCTCCTTGATCTACTCGTTTATGTTTTGTAGTCAGATGGCACAGTGGGTTAAGCATTGGGCTGTTAACCTAATGGTTCAAACCTAATAACCACTCCCACCAGCTGCTCCATGAGCGAAAGATGGGCTGTCTGCTCCATAAAGATATATAGTCTCAGAAGCCCTATGGAGCCTTCTACTCAGTCCTATAGGGTTGCTGAGTCAGAAGTGACTTCATGGCAGTGGGTTTAGTAGTAAGTACATACTTCGGACATATTATCAGGAGGGACCAGTCACTGGAGAAGGATATCATGTTTGGTAAAGTGGAGGGTCAGAGGAAAAGAGGAAGACTCCCAGCGAGATGGATTGGCCAAGTGGCAGCATCAATGGGCTCAAGCGTGGCAACGAGAGTGAGGTTGGCCCAGGATTGGGCAGTGTTAAGTTCTGCTGTGCATAAGGTCGCTGTGGGTCGGTACCAACTCGATGGCACCTAACGACAACAACTAGAAGACGTAGGAAAGGTTTTGCCTCCTCCCATTTCAAGGATAACTTTGTCTCTGGTTATCACTGAGTTAACACCATAATTTTCATTTCTAGTCACTGGAAACTGTTTAAACCCACCAGCCACTCCTTGGAAACCCTAAACAGGGTCACTATGAGTCGGTACCTACTCGATGACACTTAACAACAACAGTAATAGAAAGAGCTATGTAAAATTCAGATCAGAAGCATCCCTGAAATAAGAACACCATTAAATATAATCATGAAGGGAGGGCAGGTGGAGGGAAGATGACGATCTGAGCAGCATTGTGACTCTAGGTGAGCATACCTTTGGTTTAATTCTCCACGTAGCAGGCTGGGTGCTCGTCTCAACATGTGTGTATATAGCTTGTAGGGAGGTCTAGCCTTAAATTCTTCCACTCGACCTTTCAGCACCTCTCTCCTACACATGCCCTAGATGTACCTCTTTTATAAGCCATTCCCACAAGGCCTTGCTGTTAGTAGCTGTCAACAGATACCACCTGTGGCAGCTAATGTTCAGGACCTATTATTGCCATGTGCTGTTGAGTTGGTTCTGACTCATAGCAATCCTGTATGGGGTTTCCAAAAGCGGCTGATGAGTTTGAACTGCTGACCTTATGGTTAGCAGTCCAGTGCTTATCCTATGGCTCCATACCAGGGCCGTATCTGGCATCTGTTCTATCTTTTTACTTCCAGAGCTCTGGTTTCGTGCACATAGATGGCCAGGGAAGACTGGACCCTTCCCCTGGGCAAGAGGGTGAATCATAGTGGGTGGACACCAACTATGGGAGTCTTTTTATTCTTACAAATGATTGGTTTAGGATGGATACTGATACAATCATGGACATGGAATCTGAATGACCTCTGCTGGATAGTGTGGAGAAGTTTTCTTCCGTAATAAACTTGGATTCCAGTAACAAACTTGGGAGAAAACTCTCTTTGTAGCTTGACCTCATTCATGTCTGCATTTATTATCTGGATCATTGTGATTTTACTTACATGCTAAGGATGGCAGAGAAGAAATACGGAAGCATTAGGTCCTCAATGGTCTCACTGCACCACTGAATTAATCGACCCATAAATGCTCTTTCAACATCCTTTTTGTTGAATTTTATGAGATTTGCAACTGCAACTATCCTGTCCAATAATTCATCATATCCCACTACTTGTCAACTTTGATAATGATATTTTAATAACCATACAACTATTCACTGAATAACCTAGTAGGTATAAACAGGCATGTGTCTGACACTAGGATAAGAAAATATACAATGAGACTATTATTCAGAGTTTTCTATGACGGTACCATCATCCTTGATGTGTGTGTGTTTTAAAACACCTTTGTAAACTGAACTCACAATTTCTTTCACTTACATTGCTTTATAATATCTGAGAAAGCCAGGAGCGGCATTCTGAGTCTTTGCTGCCAAAAGCAATTATGTAGTGGGAAGGAACACAACTTTCTAATTCCAAATCTCCAGACTGCAGCACCCAGTCTCAATAAATAAGATTCGCCTGGTACTGTTGTTGTTAAGGGCTACCAATTTGGTTTCGACTGACATTGTTGTTAAGGGCCATCGAGTTGGTTCTGACTCATAGTGACCCTGGGATTCCGAGGAGTGCCTGGTGGGTTTGAGCCGTCGACCTTGTGGTCCAGTGTTTATCCTATAGCGCCACACCAGGACTCTGTTCTGACTCACTATTGTAAGTGCTGTCGAGTTTGTTCCAACTTATAGCGATCCTGTATAGGGTGTCCAAGTAGCAGCTGATGAGTTTGAACCGCCGATGTTGTGGTCCAGTGCTTATCCTACCATCACACCAGGGCTCCATCTGGCTCTAGTTAAGTGCCATCGAGCTGGTTCTGACCCATAGCGACCCTGTATAGGGTTTCCAAGGAGCGACTGGTGAATTTGAACCGCCAACCTTGTGGTTCAAAACGACTTTGCGGTCAAGGGCTTAGCCTACAGCGTCAATATGAGGTATGAGGAGGAACACATCTTCCTAGAAAGCAAATGGATAGCTGTAGTCCCGCTTGAAGTCCGATGCGTCAGTCAAGGAGCAAAAGGAACCTAAAATATTTTGCGTCGAAGACTAGCAGCCCGACGCACGCCGGTCTGAACTGTGGAAAAGCAGACGCAGACGTCCGCCTCTCCTTCACTTTAGAAGGACCGAACTCAAATTGCACGCCACAGGGCACTGTTAGCAGAAACCGTATTTCGTTAGACTCTTTCTGGTTCCCCAAATTCCAGCTCTTCTGGTTTTCTTTCCTCTTGGAAACATTATAATCTTGGGGTTGTTGTTGTTAAGTGCCGTCGAGTGTGTTCCGACCCATAGCGACCCTGTATAGTTTCCAAGGAGCAACTGGTGAGCTTGAACCACCGACCGTGCGGCTCAAACTACTTTGCAGTCCAGCGCATTAGCCCACAGCGCCACACCAGGACTCCAAACCTTCGGGTGCTTACCATAAAAAAGAAGCTCCATTTCGCCAGGTTACCGGACATGGAGATCCCTGGGGAGACTTAGTCAGCGGAACCGGAAATACTTTTAGAAACGGAGGGGAAACTACATCTCCCAGAATGCCCGATCTTCCGTTAAAGTGTTCGATTGGTTAGCACTCAAGAAGGACAGCCCTCTCTGGGGCCACACAAGCCAATCACTGGGCAGGATAGTATATAGTTGGGACGGGCATTGTGTGGGGGTTTTTTTTGTTGGCTTCAGCATGGGCTAGTGTGGGGTCGTGGCATTCTTTCGGTGCTCTCAGTTCTCTTTTGGGGATTTCTTTTTGTTGTTTCTGCCGGGTTAGGACGAGACTTTCTGAGGTCATTAGCCGCAGTGTGGTAAGTGAGGGCCGGCCAGCCGTGGCTTTCGGCTCTCTAAAGGGATGGCCGGTGAAAGGAGCAGTCGCCTCGGATCTTCAGGAGGTTTGGGAAAGCCAGGGAGCCCAGGGGGGGCGTGGAGGAGCACTAGAACTGAACTGACCCCTGTAAGAACTGTTTTCTCCCCTCCCAGTTTTGTCCCGAAGTTCCTGTCGTGACTTGAAACTGACCACCTCTGCCCTCCACATGGCGTCCACGCTCTCTACCCCCGCGGCCCAGGTGAGGCGAGGTCCCTCCGCCATTCAGCTTCCGGTGCGGCTTTCCAACCTCGGCCTGCTCTTGGGAAGCGGGCATACCTGTGAGCATGGGAAGCCGTCTTTGTTCCTAAGCCAGGGCCCTAGAAGAAATCGTTTCTCACACTCTCACATCACTGGATGGGATCAGGGCCCCTTGGAAAAGCTAAAACAAAGTTTCTCAAACTTCCTGGACTACTCAGAAGTGCCAGTTTTCAGGCTTTGTCTGTTGAATTAAAAGCAGTAACAACAACAACCCCGGTGTGTAAGCACTTCGAAGTCCTATTGCTGTATAGACCCATAAACTTAGGGAGTCCTTGTGTGATGCTGTAGGATAAGGACTGAACTGATAACCACAAGGTCGCTAGTTCAAACCCACCAGCTGCTCATTGGGAACTGTTGTTAAGTGTTGTTGAGTCAGTTCCCACCAAACCCCAGGAGCAGCTGGTGAGCTTGAACTTCTGACCTCGCGGTTGGAACCGACTTTGCGGTCCAGCGCATTGACCCACAGCGGCACACCTGGGAACTGTACAACAGGTCGCCAGGAGTCAGAACTACTCGAGGGCACTTAACACCAACAAACTTAGGGAAAAGTGGGGTAAAACCCACTGCCTTCCAGTCGATTCTGTCCGGAGCCTGTAGGACTGAGCTGAACTGCTCCATAGGGTTTCCAAGACTGTAAAGCCTTAGGGAGCAGCTGCCTTTTGTTTCTCTGGAGGAGTGGCTGGTGGATTGAAATTTAGGAAGTTACACCAACATGTGACCCAGTACACCATCCGATGACGTCAGGGAAGGATGTTGAAAGAAGCCTAAGACCCTCGTCCCTTTTTGTAATTTTTCCCGGGCTGCTCAGGTTTCCCTTTACCCTAGCCATCCTTACTTAATGGTTTCTCTCCTCAAGACCTGTTCTCTCACTTGCCTTTCCCCCCAACCCCCCCAACACACTACCCTTTCAGAGTTTAAAGTCTTTATACCATGCCCTCAAAATGTATGGCCAGTGCACACGCTCTTTCCCCAACCTCGTCCATTTTTACTCCATCTCCAGCACTCAGAAAACCATTGATCCCAAGCCCTTTTCTCCTATGCACCTGACATTTCTAGCTTTGCTTAGTCCTCCATTACTGAGTGGGTCCAGGCCCTCAAGCCATTTATACTAAGATGGGATTTCATGTTTGTTCAGGTGTCTGTGCTGTTTGAGGATCTGGCTGTATATTTTTCCCAAGAGGAGTGTGTGAGTCTGTGCCCTGCCCAGAGGGCCCTCAGCAGAGATGCCACACACAGGTGTTTCCAGGATGTGGCCTGGCTAGGTAAGACCATTGTTTTTTCCCTGCATTTTGGAATTTTGGTCAATTCTAGGATTAGGATTTCATGCCTCTTCCACTTGTTGGTTTTGGAAAGTGGGACCTAGACCTGGATGATTTACATGAATATAATAAGAACGTTCATGGGACAGCATGTTTCAAAATGTCAGATAGTTTTTTAAAATGCAAAATCCAGTCTAGTGTTACTGTAATTTTACATGAGACATCCTTGTTAAGTACTTTTGAGTTGGTTCTGAATCAGAGCAAACTGTATAAGGTTTCTTAGGCTGTGCATCTTTGTGGAAACAGAAAGCCTCATCTTTCTCCTGGGGAGCAGCTGGTGGGCTCTAACTGCCGACCTTGTGATTTGCAGTCCAGTGCTTATTGTACAGAGATGTACTGCTCTCCCATGAGCCATCCTTGTTGTGAAATGCTGTCGAGTCAGTCCTACTCAGCGACCCTGTATAGGGTTTCCGAGGAGCCGCTAGTGGGTTTGAACTGCTGATCTTGTGGTGCGCAGTCCAGTGCTGATTCTGCAGTGCCACACCAGGTGTCCAATAGTAACCTATCCTAATGCAGGATTGGTCTGCCTCTCCTTCTTCCTAGCCTCTCTTAAATCCGGAAGCTCCACTGAAACCGGTCCACCACGTGTTACCCTCTTGGTATTTAAGATACCAGTGGCATAGTTTCCAGAAGCACACACACGCCATCACGGTACTATGGACAAACAATTGCATGGTGACATTGAAGCTCGAAGTGGTGCTATTGCTTTCTCATCCGGAGGAGTGATATGCAGGAAGTACTCTTTCCGCACAAAATATCTGAGTATATTTTACCCCTGACGAAGGTTGCGCTAGCCCATAATTCCTATTTTGTAGTCTCCATTTCTTTCTTAACTTCTTAATTATGACAATTTTTCTCTGTACCTTCTTGAATTAGAGTAGTTTGCCCTGGTGGTGCAGTGGTTAAGTGCTCTGCTATTATCCAGAAGGTCAGCAGTTTAACCCTACTGGCCATCCCACCGAAGAAAGATGTGGCAGTCTGCTTCCATAAAGATTTGCAGCTTTGGAAAACCACGTGGGGCGCTTCTACTGTGTCCCCCAGGGTCGTGACTTGATGACAATGGGCCTTTTATTTTAAATAGCTGAATCTGTTTACTGTTACTATTTGTACCATTCCTGGGTTTATCCCTATTGATTGAGTTTTCTCCAGGTTATGGGTTATATTTTCTGCCCAGCTTATCATGTGAGATAACTTAAAAACTCTTGGGTCCAGTTAAATAGACTAACTGGAAGACCCCACCTCTAGACAGTGGCTCCAAGAAGGTTTTCCTTATTACCTATCCTGGTGGACTCTGCCTGCTTGTTCTCTGCTGTCTCCCCTTGCAGGCTCCCCTCGAACTGGAGCTGGGGAAGTTCCTACAGCCTTCTGGTTCCTGACTTAGTATGTTATCATGTCACGGTTATAGGTTAATTCACATACAATTCCTTGGTATTCGCTGTAACTGCCTTAGCTTGTTTCCTCAGTACCACTTGAGAGCGTTGTCTATGCTTTGCTTTGCTTTCTTTTTTATCAGTAGGTGAGAAAGACAAGCTTGGAAATAATCAGCAGTTCAGTGTAGAGTCTATGGAATTTGAAGAATTTGCCGTAGAAAAGTACTCCTTTGCTGTGCCCCTTATCTATTATCCAGAAAAGTCCTCGGAAGATGAAGTTGGAAAACAGGAAGGAAAAATACCAGCTGGAACTGTCACTTGCAAAAAAAGATTGATAAGCCTTTTAGTTACCATTGAGAACCACACTCCATTAGTAGAGCTTTCTCAGTGTTTAGGAACCAGAACACTTAATGCAATTCTTGAATCACCTTGGGAAGAAGCCAAAACCAAATCCCCAGGGTGTGACCAAAGCACCCATGATACTTCATAACTTGTTTCGCATCCAAAAAATCATTCCGCAGACAAAAAGTATAAATGTGGTGACTGTGGGAAACTCTTCAGTCACTGAACCAACTTGAGGATACACAGGAGAATCCATACTGGTGAAAAGCCTTATAAATGTGTTGAGTGTGGTACCAGCTTCCGTCGGCACTCACATCTGTCCAGGCACATGACTGTCCATAGAAAGAAGAAGCCATATATGTGTGGGATATGTGGGAAAGGGTTTTTGTAGCTCCCAGGACTGGACCGCCACCAAAAATCCCACACTGCAGAAAAAGCCTGTGAACATGCTAACTCTGGTGACTGCTTTGGTCAGACGGGAAATCTCTAGGAGAAAATGCAAACATTGGCAGCTGGTTACCAGCGTGTGGAGAGTGCCGGACAGCCCTCATACCTTGTCTTCCCAAAGAAGGGGATGGGAGAGAGGACAAGGACTCCAAATGATACAGTGGTCACGGGGGAAACTGTCACTCTCAAAATGTAAACCCTTCAAATGTCCTGTGTGAGGCCACCTGCCATCATTTCTCTGAACAGATTTCGCATCAGAACGTCACATGGAGGAAAAGCCTCACGTATGCAAAACATTTTATTTTGGAATCAGAACTGGCATGCCACCAGAAAAGCCATGCAGAGAAACCTTTCAAATGTATCATCTGTGGGAAAGGTTTCAGGTTGGAAATGCATCTTGTTCTTCATCAGCAAACCCATGTGACAAACACCATGCAAGTACAACACATTTTCACAAGACTTTTGTTTTTCATTATCTGTTAGGTGTATCCTTCCTGTGCCCGGGCCCTCACTAACTACTTTGCCCTTTATACACACGTCACTTGCTTCTCACTACGGCCTCAGTTTGCTGTTAGGTGCTATCAAGTTGGTTCCAACTCAACAGCGATTCTTTATAGGGTTTCTGAGGCTGCAAATCTTTGTGGGAGCAGAAAACGTCATTTTTCTCCCACAGAGTGGCTGGTGGGCTCACGCTGCCAACCTTGTGGTTCATAATCTAGTGCTTATCTTACAAAGCCACTGCACTCTCCACAGACTCAATTTAGGCAGTGTTTCTGTTTCATAACTAAAAAAACATACTGAGTATATCCAGGGTTCTTTTAATTTCATTTACAGGGTCGCTGTGGGTCGGAATCAACTTGACGGCACTTGACAACAACATACTTTGCTGTAACTTTGAATGTATTATCTGTATGAAATTAATATTCTTTATGCGGACTCCTAGAGACTACCTCCCCCCATTACAGAGTCTTTGAATGTATTATCTGTATGAAATTAATATTCTTTATGCGGATTCCTAGAGACTACCTCCCCCCTTTACAGAGTTCTCACATGGGTGGATTAGTTATTGGCTTGTTTTTGTTAAGTGCCATCGAGTAGGTTCTGACCCATAGCGACCCAGTATAGGGTTTCCGAGCAGTGACTGGTGAGCTTGAACCGCTGCCCTTGCAGTTCAAAGGCCTTTGCAATCTGGCACATTAACCCACAGCAGCCACAGTGGCTGCTGATATCCGTGGGACTTCCACCTTGGGATATGGGTGTTTACAAGGGGTTTTGGCAATCTCACTACAGATCTTTTCTGCTGGTTGGATCTGGGGAGAGGCACATAGAGGGGATGGTTGTTGTTAAGTGTCCTCGAGTCAGTTCTAATTCAGAGTGACCCTGTGTAGGGTTTCCAGGGAATGGCTGGTGAGTTTGAACCACCAACCTTGTGGTTATCAGGCCAGTGCTTACCTACAGCCTCAGACCAGGAATTCAGAGGTGGTGGTAGGGCCTATTTCTTTTTACGATGACCTTCATAGGGCGATTTGCCTATCAAAGCATTTTGTATGTTTTGCTGTGAATAATAGTAAATGCTGTTTAGGGAAAGGCGTCCAGGTGTGTCATGGTTAAGCACTTTGTTGCTAATTGAAAGGTCAGTGGTTTGAGCCCACCAGCTGCTCTGTAAAGATGCCAGCCTTGGAGACCCTGTGAGGCTGTTGTGTGCCTTCAGGGTCGCTGGGAGTCAGGACTGACTTGGCAGCACCAGGTTTTTGCCATCCTTTGTTCCTGAGAAAGTGTAAGGACGGTGATGTCATGGATCTTTTCCAGACCTCACAATGGACTTTCTTAATAGTCCAGATGAGACTTTCTTAATAGTTAACCTCTCCATTTTTATTGACTCCAGATTTTGGGAGATTATGCCAAAACTAAGAGATTAAAAAAATGGCATGTTTACAGAAACATAGGAATGTAATCAACATGGGGTTTTGGTGTTATATTGTTAATTTGGAGTGCAGAAAATTGAGAAAAATAAAACGCTGAGTGTCAGTTGCTCAGATGTAGGCATGTTTTCTGCTGCTACCTTATTGTATCCTTGTACCTAAACCTGTATGCTGGATGTAATTCAAGATTCTCTGAGCCCAGAGAATTGAAGGAAGAGGTCATATCAGCTGGTAAGAGCCAGGCTGTCTTTATGATAGCTTTTTACTTCTGTCTTTCTAGTACCAACTGATGGGCAGAATCCACAAAATTGTCATTGAATGAATGATATATTATTAACCTATTGTGTTAATTGCTATTCACAAATACTGGATGTAAGTTAATACCAGGATGACAAACTGAATATGCAAATGTTTATTGCTTTGAACAGTGGGTTGAGTAGGGTTTGCAGCTGCGCCTTTGACATTATATTAAAAGTGAAAGCTCCACACCAAAGAAAGGGATGCAGACAAATTTCATGGTTTTTTGTTGTCAAAATAGTGATGAAAATGTGTCTCCAACAAGTCCGTCATACGATTATTAAAATATCAGGGTTGTTAAACAGTCAACACCAATGAAACATTAATCAGATGGAATTTAGATGTTATCAGCTTACATTTTGTCATTTTAAAATTAAAGAATTTTGTTGCTCTCCAAAGAGTTCCACTGGAAAGAGTTATATTTAGAGCTTTCTTGTTATAGGTCTTAGCCTGTACCTGTCTCCCCTAATTCAGAACACGACTAACTCAAGACCTCAGGAAGTTAAAACTAAATAAACATGATAAAATGCAGAGCCAACAGTAAATGTCTTTGTGAACTTTAGACTCCGGGATTCCATATAATTAGGTGACAGTGTTCTGATGGCTGTAGCACAAGATGTTTAATAACCTGAAACTAGATTTTACTCAAATTAATTTGCCAATCTGCCTCATAAATGTACAAGGGGGAGGTCTAACAGGTTATAGTGTATGTGAATAAAGAGTATGTCGCATTGCTTATGAAACTTGTCCCTGTGGAATTTCAGTAGGAAAGTGTTCTTTTGATCATCTGCGTAAAAAGCCAACTAAGTGATCTCATTAGAAGTGTGTACAGGCATCTGTTGTAGGTTTCAGATGGGGCCCATGTTCCATCTGACAACATACACTGTTGTTCCCTATCTCTCCTTACAACAGTCTGGGGAGTCAGGGATTCAAATCCACTAGCTGCTCTCGGACACCAGAGGCAGGGTCGCTGAGTTGGAACCTACTCGACAGTTACCATATGATGCAGCTATTTCATCTTTAGGTAGATAGTCAGGGGAAATGAAAACTCATGTCCACACAAAAACGTGTATATAAATATTTACAGCAGTATTATTCATAATAAAGGTGGAAACCACCCAAGTGTCCATCAGCTGATTAATGGATAAATATGTGGTATGTATAACGGATTGTTACCTGGCAATAAAAAGAATAAAGTAGAGATACAGGCTCCAACAAGACTAAAACATAGTGAAAAAAGGTGATGAGTAGGGTTTGGGATGGGGAGTAACTGTTCATGATTGCTTGTTTTTCTCTGGGCTTTGGAAAATGTCCTAAAACTATACTGTGCTGATGGTTACACAACTTCGAATACACTAATACCACTGAACTGTACCTGTTAAATGGATAAACTTTATATGTGAAATAAACCTCAATAAAATTGAAAAAAAAAACACATTTTTGGTTTAAAAACAATTGTGAAAAAATGTCCACACTGACTATTTAGGATGGTACTGGGGAGTTACTGTTACTTTTGATGGTAATGATGATGGTGTTAAGAAATAGATTTACACAGTTCTTATCCACTAGAGAATGAAAATGCCTTTCAGAGAAATGTGAGGTCCAAATTCCTCATCTATTCATTGATACTTCCCGTCTCTTCCCCATTTCCCCAAGGGCAGCTCAGGAACCATATAACCTGACCAAATCATCCCCATTATCACATGGGTGAATACAAGACAAGGTCCAGAAAAGATCACAAAATGTCCATGGGCTGCACAGAAAAGATTAGGTTGGGGTGCTGTGAATAGAAGCTGATTGCAAACCAGGTTAGCATTCTGTACTGAGGTCTTCTGATGGGACCCCACAAGGTAAAGGGAATGAGGGGCTTATATCTGAAGAACTGAGCCCACACCTGCAAACGCAGCCGAGCACCCATGGCCCTACTTCCTTACTGAGCCTACTTACCTGGAGCTGAGCTCTCTGTCTGTGAACGTTAACTTGGCTTTCAGGGAAGGGAAGCAGTGGGACACACTTGAAAACCGTTTAGAAACAGGAATGACGTGGAGAGTGGTAATTTTGTATTTTCAAGGTCCAGAGTTGAACCAGTACAGCGTGATACTAAAATTCAACAATAAACACACGGATTCTGTAACCAGGAGAAACACTCAAAAGCAGTCTTTATTCTTTTTGGAGAACTTAAAACACAGGAAGCAGAACTCTTGTTTCAGTAAGAGTTCCTGTCTCCAACTCTTATAAATAAGAAAAATGGAAATCTATGTTCCTTTCCTTTGGGGAGCAAGCCTCTTTAACCAAATTGGTTCAAGATAGACATGGGATACATAACAGTACTTAGGAAGGGGAACATGGAGTAGGTCACTGTGCTTCAGCAGAGGTTTTGGCCTGCTGCATCCAATAGATCTGAAGCAGAAATGAGTCTGGCAGGGAAAGCAGGGTCCTTAATTAATTACTGAATGTCTTGGGCACAGGCTAATTCCAAAAGTTACAATGATAGAAAAACAAGATTCCTGTCCTTAACAATCCTTTATAGTGGGTAACAGGCTTTCTCACCTCTCAATAACACTTCTCTGTCTCTTGACTGGAGCTGCTGTATGGACTTCTTTTCTGAATTAGACATGTTTTAATATACAAAAGGTCATATATATGTCATACATGTGTGTATGTGTGTATCTGCATATACATGATATAGAGAGGATCACGTGTATGTGGTCCTTCTGTGTCAAAGCATTTGAAAAATTTTAGTTATTTGGAAACACAAGCATGACAGACTCATTTAATGCAAGCCTTTGTCCTGAGCAGCCAGGAATTACCTATGGAATATCGGGATGTACATCCCAGTTAACTTTTGCCTTAAAGTGGTGGTGGATCACTCACCTTTATTCAACAGGTGTGAGCATAATAAAGAAGGCCTGATGTGACAGGAAATGTACAACCCTATGTAGACTTTATCCTTGAGCCTATTTTAGAAGACAAAGCAGTAAGGAAAACATTTCACAATAAAGGGGCCAGGAGCATCTTGTTTCTTCCACAGTATTTACTTCTTGCTCTCCAAGTGAATGCACTTCTTTGACCCACAGCCCTGACCTGCCATCTCATCACCGTTTTTGACACGCTACATGAACAATCTCCTGGTCCACCTCTTCAGGGTGTTCTCATACACGCCCAATGTGCACCATCACTTCCTCAGGAACCTTTCCTTGTAAGTCATGTAGTCTTTGTGATTTACATGCAATCAGGGAAGGAGTCATACAAATACCTTCCTACTGACTGTAAAGCAGGAAGCTCTCCTTAGACTCCATGGTGGAGTCTTTGATGCTTGTGAAGGTTTGATTTCTGGCGGAAGCTTTTCCCACACAGGTCACAATGGAACGGTTTCTCTCCAGTGTGGATCCTTTGGTGCAGCTGCAAGGTTGACTGCCGCCCAAAGCGGTTTCCACACACTTCACACGTATAGGGTCTTTCCCCTGTATGGACTCTCTTGTGTCTTTCCAATTCTGAATTAAATGAAAAGCTTTTCCCACAGTGATCGCATTTGTAAGATTTCTTTGGGGGCCCAAGATGTTCCAAATGGTTGCTTTTCTTTACCTCCCTCAACAGGTGGCTTTTTATGGGGCTGCTAATATATTCCAATTGCCTACAATGTCTTTGGTGGTGAGTGAATGGCTTTTGAGCATTTGGGGGGCTCATCTGTCTTGGTGATAATCGGGGTTCACTCATATTCACCACTCTAGATTCAGGACTCTGCAGACCATTTTCTTTGCATCTGTCAGTTGAAACTGCACAAGGCTTTGCTCCTTTAGTCCCATCCTGTTGTGGGTTTTCCTTGTTGTCACTTCTCATTCTGGTGGCCTCTATAATTAGAAAGAATATGTTCTATTTTCTAGCTGTTCGTGAATGAACCTCAGCAAAACAGGAAACAGACAGCAAGACTTCTCAACGTGTGCTCTACTGGCCAGCTGCATGACACTCAACTGGAGTTAACAAACAAGCAAAGTCCTCGCCTCTCTCCCAGCATCTCCTGGGGTGGAACCTGGAAATCTACATAGTACATAAGCTCTTAGGGGTGATTCTGATTTATACTGAAATTAGAAACCAAGTTTTCCAACCTCCTTTCTCCTTACCTTTAGGGAAAAGTTTAGGAAAGGAGGAACATGGAATGGAAAAGAAAACTCATCAAAACTGGGTATTAATTGATGAAACCCCATCAATTAATGAAAGAATGATATTTACAAATTGCCACTTTTGTACCTGAGCTATTTCAACAAATACCCATCACTTATTAGAACACTGGTTGACATTTTCTCCTCAAAGGATGATAAATCTAGTAACTGGTGTTTTCGTTCATTACAAAGTTGACAACGTGTTTAGAAACCATATTTTGGATTATACCTGTAGTCTAATTACAGAAATTCTCCAGCTGCCTCACACCATGTAAAACACCTTAACTTAAAATGGATTAAAGACCTAAACGTAAGAGTAGTCTTTGTGGATTCTGACTCCTGGCAACTCCAAGTCTGTCAGAGGAGAAGTACGCTTGCTCCATGGGCTTTTAAAGGTTATGACCTTTCAGAAGCAGATTGTCACACCTGTCTCCTGTGGTGCCTCTAGGTGAGTTCAAAGCATCAACGTTTTTGACAAGTAGTCAAGTGCTTCAGTGTGCCAAACGTAAGAGGTGGAACTGTGACACTGTGGAAACCCATAGAAAGTCAATCTTCCTGACACTGGATTGGGCAATTAAAAAACACAACAACTCTGACACTTCAACCACAAGCAATCAGAAACAATGGATAAATTAGACGTCATCAAAATTAAGACTAGTATGTATCAAAGAACAACACTACTTGGAAAACTCATCGTGGTATCATATGCATGATTTCCCTCACCCAGGTGATCGAGGTTTATCTTGTCTGGTTTTCACCCTTGTATAAAATTTAATAAAGAGTCTATAATAATAGTAATCATAATAAGAGCACTACTAAGACGTGGACAGACAGTCTACAGAATGGGAGAAAATACTGAAAAATTAGGTATCTGCTAAGAGTCTAGTCGAAAGAATAAAAGAACTCTTAGGATCCAACAGCCAAAAGACAAAAAAAAAAATTGAAAAATAAGCAAAGAATTTGAATAGACATTTTGCCAAAGAAGATACACAAATAGTCAATAAGCCCACTGAAAAGGTACATCATTAGGCATTCCAGAAAACCAAATCCACTGTCACTGAGTCCATTCCAACTCAGTGACCCTACACAGGGTTTCGGAGACGAAATCTTTACAAGAGCAGACAGCCTCATCTTTTGCCCATGAAGCAGCTGGTGGGTTTGAACCACCAACCTTACGGTTAGCAATCCAGTGCTTATCCTGCACCACCATCAGGGTTCACTGTTTTTGTTGTTAAGTGCCTCCGAGTCACTTCTGACTCATAGCAACATTGTATAGGGTTTCCAAGGAGCAGCTTGTGAATTTGAACTGCCAACCTTGCAGTCCAGTGCATTTTCTCACAGCGCTACACCAGGACTCCTGAGAGAAATGAAAACCAAACCACAATGTTTAGAACCATGAAGGCCGTAGGTCAGGGGGGAACGACGTCAGCTAGAACCCTCATGCTTTTTACTGGTGCCCAGGCCTTGTCGTTTCCTTGAATTTCAAGAATAATCAAATCATAATATTTCATGGATTGTCGTACATTATATGGAACCTTCTGCTCTAACTTGCAAACTGTTCTGTATTTACATGACTAAGAACGCCCAAACATGTTACTTGCAGTCACACTTGGGGCACAGTACCAGAGGCAAGGAAACAGACGAAAACAAGCACAAGCAATGTCAAAGAGGAAGAAGTATCAGAAAATACTGCTGAGTGTGGACTCGGTCTAAAAGGAATATTGTTTAGGCCCCTTCTAATCTTGGGGCCATTTTAAGTGTTGAAACTCAGCCACGGCTTGGATGGAAGTTTAGTGGTGATCCAAGTGCTCGTTTTCTAATGATCCGTCTTAATTAAAAAAAGGAACAGAATTACAAAACGGAACAGAAGAGTAGGTACTAGATAATTCCTGTTGTGCAACTGACTGTCAAAACCTCATTAACAGAAAATGGCGAGCACATATTTATTTTCTCACCATTACTCTAGTGAGATTTTTAAAATAAAAGATCTGTAATTACATGCAACATTAAAACATACACATACATCTGGACGATGCCTTTCGAGGACCACGAGATGCTTTCGTGTACAGAAAGGCCAGTAAGAGAGAAACAGAGCGTTTACCTGTCTCAGCCAATTTAAGGATTGGCTCCTGGAGGAGCTGGGCTTTCTCCCCATGAGGGTGGCTCAGCTGCTCCTCAAGTCCTGCTTCGGAAGTCTCCTCCAGAAAGTCAGGCAGTTCCTGCTCTCCAAGTTGAACTCCAGTTTTCTCCAAGAGCACCCTCTGTCCCTGCATACAGACAGCCACCTAGGGACAAGACCCATCGTGTCGATGAGCGCTTGGGCCAAGCAAGGACTGACCGAGGACAGCTTTACTTTCACTGCTCTGTAATGACCCCGCCACCCTGGGAATTCCTGACACCAGCCTGAAGGCCAACTTTGATAGAGAGCATTGAAACCCTCAAAGGAATCAGAATGACAAGAATAATGCTACTATAGATCCTGAGTTGTTAAGTGCTGTCAAATCAGTTCCAACCTATAGCAACCCTGTATAGGGTTTCCCAGGACTAGCTGGTGAGCTTCAACCGCCCCTAAAGTTTCAACTTTTCTCAATGCCTGGAGAAACAGGCATCAGAAGAGAGCTAGAACAAAAACATCAGCATCAGTTATGGTGTTGGCACATCAGACTCCCAGCATATAAGCATGCCTTCCATATCCTATAGGAAGGGAATCACTATGATGGGGGACCGTGAGACACGCACTGCCAAAGGCTGTTCTGGGAAGGAGATCCTAGCAGAAGTCGGACTCAAAGAGGACTGCTCCAGCCCTATTCCCTAACAGTTCCTATTGTCAAAGAACCACGCTGTTTACTTCCTGCCTAGTCCTTGACAGGACTCCTGGTTTGGCACTCACTGTAAGATAAGCACTGGGCTGCTAACCACAAGGCAAGTGGTTCAAACCCACCAGCAGCTCCTTGGAGATCCTACATAGGGTCGCTAAGAGTTGGAATCGACTTGATGGCACTTAACAACATGACTTGACTTGGGTCTGAGTAGGTGGGTGCACGTGAGAAGGGATTACAGCCAATTAAGCTGGAATTTCCTGATCCAAAGACTAAGACTTCTGACGACAGGAAAACTTCAAGAGGAATTGGGGGTGACGGGGTGGGCAGAGTTGACAGCAGAGATTCAAGAGCCTTCCAACTTCTTCCAGGGCATGAGGACCTTCAAGGAACAAGCAAGAACCATGACGAGGCCTTGACTTCCTCCCTGGAGGCGCCAGTGGCTGCGTTTGTTGAAAACCTGTCACAAACTGCTGGGGGTTTCAGATAGAGCTGGAGCCACTTTAGAATTCGTCCAGTCTATATTTCTGGACTGTGTCTAACTGGGAGATGCTGGGGGCCCTGGAAAGGGGACCTTCCTTACCCACTGCTTTGGTCTCTTGGAGGCTCTGTGAAACTCTTCCACCAGGTCCACGATCTCCTGGCTGTTGGCTGGACATCTTTTCCTCACCCAGGTCTGGATCTCTGGGGGCAGGATGGCCAGAAACTGCTCCAGCACCAGCAGCTCCAGGATGTGCTCCTTTGAGTGCCGGTCGGGCTGCAGCCAGTCCCGGCAGAGCTGCCCGAGGCGGCAGAGCGCCTCCATGGGCCCAGATACTTCCTGATAACAAAGCTGTCTGAAGCGCTGGCGGGAGAGCTCAGGGTCCGGGCAGTTATTTTGCAAAGCAGGCTCCCTTCGGTCTTCTAGCTTTGCTATTATGTGCCTCTCTTGTTTGGGCGAATCTGGAGAATGGGGCTGCAAGCTCAAAGTTATCTCCATTTTAGCCGCCATTTGGGGTGTCAAAGAGGAAAACTGGAGTCTCTGTTAAAATGAAAATGAAAGAGATTTATTAAAGGATATTCCAATACTTGTGCACATCAAAAGGCTTCTCCAAAAGAGGAAAAAAAGACAACCTACAGATTTGGGGGAAAAAATTTGGCAATGACATCTCTGACAAAGGATTAATCTTCCAAAATGTATAGAAAACTTCCAACACCTCCACAGCAAAAGGAGAAACAACCCAATTGAAAAATGGATAGTGGACATAAAGACACGTCACCAAAGAAGAAATTCAGGTGGCCAAGACACGCAAAAAGAAAAGCTCAAAATCATCTGCTGCTGTTGCTAACTGCTGTCAAGTCAGTTCCGACTCATAGCAACCCTGTATAGGGTTTCCAAGGAGAGACTGGTGAGCTTGAACCACTGACCTTGCAGTCCAGCGCATTAACCCACAGTGCTACACCAGGGCTCCATTAGCCATTGGTGGTGGTGGTGATGGTGGTGTGCTGGGGAATTGGTTCCAATTCACCCTGCGTAGGGTTTCTGAGGCTATAAATCTTGACAGGAGCAGAAAGCCTCATCTTTCTCCCATGGAACAGCTGGTAGTTCTGAACTGCTGACATGGAGGTCTAGCAGTCCGACTCGTAACCACTACGCTACCAGAGCTCCTTCCATTAGCCATTGTTGTTGTTAGGTGCCATTGAGTCAGGACCAACTCATAGCGACCCTATGCACAACAGAACGAAATACTGCCCAATCCTGGGCCAACCTCACCATTGCTGCCATGCTTGAGCCAACTGATGTTGCCACTTTGCCAATCCATCTCGCTGGGGATCTTTCTCTTTTTCTCTCACCCTCCACCTTACCAAACATGATATCCTTCTCCAGTGACTGGTCCCTCCTGACAATATGTCCGAAGTATGAGAGACGAAGTTTGGCCATCCTGGCCTCCAAGGAGCACTCTGGCTGCACTTCTTCCAAAACAGATCTATTGGTTCTTTTGGCAGTCCATGGCACTTTCAATATTCTCCTCCAACACCACAACTCAAAAGCATCAATTCTTCTACAGTCTTCCTTATTCACTGTCCAACGTTCACATGCACATGAGGTTATTGAAAATACCAAGGCTTGGGTCAGGCACACCTTAGTCCTCAAGCTGACATCTTTGCTCTTCAACACTTTAAAAAGGTCTTGTGCAGCAGATTTGCCTAATGCAATACGTCGTTTAATTTCTTGACTGCTGCTTCCAAGAGTGTTGATAGTTGATCCAAGAAGAATGAAGTCCTTGACAACGGTCAATCTTTTCTCCATTGGTAAGAATGTTGTTTATTGGTCCAGTGGTGAGGATTTTTGTTTTCTTTATATTGAGATGCAATTCATACCAAAGGCTGTGCTCTTTGATCTTCATTAGTAAATATACTAAGTCCTCTTCACTTTCAGCAAGCAAGGTTGTATCACCTGCATATTGCAGGTTGCTAATACCATTGTTGTTGTTGTTGTTAAATACTGTGGAGTCAGTTCCGATTCACAGTGACCCTGTACAGGGTTTCCGAGGCTGTAAATCTTTACATGAGCAGAAAGCTTCATCTTTCTCCCGTGGAGCAGCTGGTAGTTTTGAACTGCTGACCTTAAGGCTCGCAGCTCGATTCATAATCACTACGCTACCAGAGAGAGATGCAAATAAAAACAACAGAGATATCATCAAAGGCTACTGGAGGTATAGAGAGTGGAACTCTCGGACTCTGCTGATAGAAGTGTACAACAGTACAATCACTGTGTAAAATGGTATGGAACTTCCTTAACTACTTAAAAATACAAAGACCATTTGATCCAGCAATCTGACCACTAAGTATGGATCCTAATTCTCTTGGATAGGTATACGGACACCCCTATTCATAGCAGCATTACTCACAATCACAAAAAGATAGAAACAATCTAAATGCCCATCAATGAATGAATGTTTAAACAAACCAAAGAATGTACACATAATGGAATACTAAGTCCTGGTGTGGCACTGTAGGATAAGCACTGGACTGCTAACCCCAAGGTCAGTGGTTCAAACCCACCAGCTGCTCCTCAGAAACCCTACATAGAGTTGCTATGAGTTGGAACTGAGTCAAGCGCATTTAACAACAAAACAATGTTAATAACAACAAATCCACGAAACATCTCATAATGTGGACGAACCTGGAGGGCACAACTGTGTGAGTGCACTATTATAACAAGTCCAGCGAAGGTTTCCACAGAGAGTAAGAAAAGATGGCTACCAGGGAGAAAATCACTAATTAGATAATGCTGTCATTAAGTGTCGTGGAGTCAGTTCTGACTCAGAGCGACCTGTACAGAGTTTCCAAGGCAGCTGGTGAGTTTGAAGTGCCGACACTGAGGTTCAAGCCAACTTTGCAGTCCAGTGCTTATCCTACAACACCACAACAGGACTCCATCTAAATAACTGTTGTTGTTAAGTGCCGTTGAGTCCATTCTGACTCATGTTGTTGTTGTTGTCAGGTGCCATCGAGTCGGAACCGACTCATAGCGACCCCATGCACAGCAGAACGAAACAATGTCCGATCCTGGGCCAACCTCACTACCGCTGCCACACTTGATGCCATCAATGATGCCACCTGGCTGATCCATCTCTTTGGGGGTCTTCCTCTTTTTCTCTGACCCTCCATCTTATCCAGCATGACATCCTTCTCCAGTGACTGTTCCCTCCAGACAATATGTCCAAAGTATGAGAGATGAAGCTTAGCCATCCTGGCCTCCAAGGAGCAGTCTGGTTGTACTTCTTCCAAAACAGCTCTATTGGTTCTTTTGGCAGTCCATGGCACTTTCAGTATTCTCCTCCAACACCACAACTCAAAGGCATCAATTCTTCTACGATCTTCCTTATTCACTGTCCAGCTTTTGCATCCATATGAGGTTATTGAAAACACCATGGCTTGGGTCAGGCACACCCTAGTCCTCAAGCTGACATCTCTGCTCTTCAATACTTTAAAAAGTTCCTGTGCAGCAGATTTGCCCAATGCAATACGTCATCTGATCTCTTGACTGCTGCTTCCACGAGTGTTGACAGTTGATCCAAGAAGAATGAAGTCCTTGATAACTTCAATTTCTGACTCATAGCGACCCTATATAGAGTTTTTGAGGCTTTAAATCTTCATGGAGTAGAAAGCCTACCATTTCTTCCATGGAGTGGCTGGCTCCCAGTTTCGTTCTTATACAGAGCCACCATAGACACATATGAATTTGTGTGAAGAGAATGGCAACAGACAATAAGGGGATGATCACCACAACAGCACAAAGGCAACGGAAGCCACAGAGTTAGAGCACAAAGGTAAATACACCGCGAATCCTGCAACATCAGTAATAACAAACAGTAATCTGTAAGTGAGGAAACTGGCAGACACATGGGCCTACACCCATGACCATATATAGGTCTGGCATAGGGTATTTCTACAGACAGATTTCTATGTGCTGTAAATATTTCCACATATATAAGAGAGCAATTAAGGGGCAAAGTCATGACAACTTCTTCACCATAAGCAAGCACTTTGAGTTAGTGAGTCACTGGGCTACTGCCTACCTTGTTGTTCACACCAACTTTGCATCCCGGCACATTAACCCACAGCGCCACACCAGAACTCCAACAAAGATACAAGAGACCAACTGAAACAGACGCAGATGAAAATTGTGGAACCCTGAACTTCAGAGGAAAGGTTAGAGACATGGACTGAGTGCATGCTGGGAGAAGACGCTGACCAGGGAATGGCTAGAGGGAGACTGATGGGTGACCAGCTGGCCAAATGCGGCATGACCATCTTGAAATTTTGTAGCAGCTTTGGTGACAGAATGTGGCCAGGCAGAGCAGATTCACACAAGCGACGGGAAAGGTGTGATTCCTTGTTTTTCACCATGCTTCCCTGGTGACCAGGTGTGGCCAGCTCCCACGCTCATCTACCCCCAGCGCAGACCCTGCTCTCCAGGGGTTAGGAGCTATGTGGTTGGAAGCCATGGTAGTGTAAGGCAGGGGCTGGCTGCAGACCTACAGAATGTGCAGAGCTACCCGACCAGCATTTAACAAGTCACGCTGCCCCCAGCTGCCCTGCGGTCCTAACTGATTCTGGAACCAGCTCCATCAAGAACCCCCATGAACTACATCCAGATTGAGTACCTGAACTTAGATAACACCTAGGCCTGTGGGAACTCCACAAAGGCCAGGAACTCCACTGTCCTTCATATCCTTCCCACGCCCACCTCCTTGAGCACCTTGGCTAACAAGAGTTCCCCAGAGTTTTCTCTTCTCTGGGTCCGATGATACCCAGGTACCACTCCAACTATCTGGAAACTAGATGATACCCAGGTACCACTCCAACTATCCAGAAAGGGATCGATCGCAAGACGAGATCCAAGAGAAAGTGGGAGAAAAATGTCAAATGAAGCTCATCATCACAAAAGAAAGAAAACAAAACAGATTTACTGGTCTGACAGAGACTGGTGGAACCCTTTAGACACCCTTCAAGCTGGGAATGGAACTCAATCTCACAGCTCAACTTTCCACCAAACAACACACAACACACGGACAGATAGACCTGCAAGCTGAAAAACACCAGCTGGGAAGTATGCACTCCTAAGAGATCAAAAGGGCAGGCAGCCTGTTAGCCAGAGAGAAAGTTCAGCAGGCAGCTGGGACTATGAAAGGATAACCGGAAATGGGAAACACAAGGAAGAAATGGAAAGAGGGTTGCTCCCCCATGGGAACTGCTATCAGTGTCACGGACATGAATTCCCCCCACCCCCCACCCCATATATATCAACTTGGCTGGGCCATGATTCTCAGTGTGATTTGGAAGTTATATGATGATCCCCATATGGTATGATGTTGTTGTTGTTAAAGTGCCATCTAGTGGGTTCTGACTCAAAGAGACCCAATATAGGGTTTCCGAGGAGCAAGCAGTTGGTGAGTTTGAACTGCTGACCTGGCGGCTCAAACCGAACTTGAGGTGGAGTGC